TTAGAAAATCTACTTGGGTGTCAGCATAGTTTTGATATAGCCTAGAGAGTGCCTGTTTAGATGGGAACTTGAGGCCTCTACATTCTGCTAATGGTGCATGCCACTGGCTGGGTTGCCTGACTTGCTGTGGAAGTCAGCCCCAAGTCCTGTAAGTTTCTAAAGTTGGTGAACTTTGCCTGGGGAGGTCTATACAGACGTGTGGCACGTTCTACGAATACGGCTGTAAGATTAATGAAACCATCTGGTAACTAGTTACTTCCGAAGTTTTGTACTTTGCTGAACATTTTCCCTTGAATACAAAATTTTTTTTTTGCATTTCGCTACTTTTCTTTCTGTTTTTTGTGTTTTTAGTTAGCTAGAAATTTAGAACTTGCATTAAATTGGCTGGCTGGGTATTCACTTCGTATATGTTTCCAAGCACCCTTATCTTTTACAAAAATTTAATTCTATTAATAAATCTGTTATATTTAGTAGTGAGCTCCTGTGGCCTTACCTATGGGTAAGCACCTAACCTGTGTTAATACAATTAACATTTATTTTATCTACCCCAGATCTTGTTGGAGAGGCATATTAAATAATAAAAGTGAGAACATTTTTTTAATATAGTAGGGATTGGTTCCTTCTGCTGTCTCTGTATGGAAAAATGCTCTTCATTTCCATAGTGGGCCTGTTTTCTCCCTGTCCTTAAACACTAGAAATCCTCATGAATTCTCACCTACCTAAAGCAGAGAATCTGTATGCCATATAATAGTTACTTTTTGAGTGTAGGGTTTAGGATTTGTTACTAATGTAATATTAAAGAAGGTTTTACAGTTTTTAATATTCTTAAGGTAAATAGCTAAAAGAAAATATGAGTTTCTACTTTGGAAGCCTTTTGATTGGTAAAGGAAGTTTAATACCAAGTTTGTGCTTTTTAAGAAATGAAATCTTGATTGAGAATGAGAAAAGCAGTAGCTATCAAGATTCCCATGATACGCTTGACTTTTGTTTGAAACAATTTGCTTTCGGTTAGTAGAGGTGGGGAAAACATCTTCCTGAGTTGTTGGAGCTCAGATTTAAAAGCATTTTCAGGTTACTACTATAGTAGAAACATTGTTCAGAGGAAAAATTACCCCTGGAGAAAATGACTGGTTGAGTTAAAGTACTATGGGGAAGTGTGTTCTGCAGAGTTTGTATAACCCATGCAGTATTTCTTCTCCCAGTAATGTTTGTATATCTTTGGTTTTGCTTTTGGTCTACTCTGAATTCATGCATGAACTCATCTCATTTTTCCTGTTTTATGTGAAGTGTTACATTTTTGCTTCTGGAGTTTTCCTTCAGTTTTTATGTGGTCATTTCTAAAGCATACTATATAGTTTTCATAACATTACGATAAACCATTATTTGTTAGATCCCCTTTAACTTGAAATTGAAAATTTTCACATGCAATGGGCTCAGGTTTGTTTTTCAACTTTTTGGGAACAGCAGGTTGTGCAGAGAGTTGTGGATCGTTGATTTAGTCTACGTAAAAAATACCATTTTGGGTGGTCCTGTTACGACTGTCCTTGTGCATACTAAAATAAGTGTATTTATTCAAAAAGTATGGGTGACCGCTGTATGCGTTGCACCATTCTAGGCCTTTGGGGATACAGCAGAGAACATAATAGAGCCCTACCTACATGGAACTTATACTTTAATGGGAGAGAAAGACATTAAATTAAAATGAGTTAGGTGATGATAAGTGCTTTGGAGAGAAATAAAGCAGAGTAAGAGGGTATAGTGAGGGTATGGAGGTAGAGGAGTGCCCTTAAGGCTTTATTACTTTTTATAAATATTGAGAGATGTTCTTCTGATGGATGACATTTGAGCAAAGATCTATAGTAATAAAGCCAGGGAGTAAGAGAAGTGTGGATATCTGGGAGAAGAGTATTCTAGGCAGAAGGAACAGAAGTACTGAGCTCCTGAGGTAAGGGTACTTGACTCATGGGAGGCATTGCAAAGGAGACATTAGTGTAACTGAAGCAGAGTGCTGCAGAGAGGAGAGCTGATCACAAAGGGAACATAGCATAGATAGAATATATATATTCTAATATATAAAATACTGTAGTTGTTGAAACTGAACTCTATACTTTTGGCTTCATTTAGGATCAGGCTCTATCTGACTAATCTAGCAGTTTACTTACCTCCCTGATTAAGAGTATGGAAATTACTAACAAAAGTGTTTGCGGTTCCTTTTAAAACCTCTCATTCTAGTAGAAGAGAATGATGTGGAAGTAAATAATGAAAATGTAGAATTATGTACCAGCTTTAGTGTCTGTTTGGCGGGTACCTTAGTCTGTGGAGGAGAAGATTTCACAAAGGAAGAGACGTCATTCATTTTGAAGAATGAGCAAGAATGGAAAGATTCGGTTGTGTAACAGCAATAAGGTACATTACAGAACGCTGGAAGGTGCTTCTGTGTTGGAAGCTAAGGTTCCAGAAGGAGGATATGGACAAAGATGAAATGTATGCCAATCCTGTAAGCAGTTGGGACATCACTGAGGTTAGGCAGTGACAGTCAGTGTTGTGTTATAGGTCAGTTTATGGCCAGTTTAGAGAATGTTTGGAAGTGCGGCGTGGGTAAGACCCCAAATTAGGTATCGTTAGAAGTGAAGAGACCAGTCAGTCCAGCATTTTCTCAGTGGGGACAGTTTTGGGTGGGGTAATTTTTAATTGTGGAGTGTTAATTGTGCATTGCATGACAGTCTCCCTCACCCTTGACATTAAGTGCCAGTAAAACTCAGAGAGCGTGATAATCACTCTCCCCAATTTCTGAATGCTCCCGGAAGTGGTGACCTCTAGTTAAGGAAAAATAGGATCTGAACTCTGGCTTTGGCAGTGATAACGGGATGGAGAGGAGAAGGTGGGATTGCTAGAGGTTTAAGAGACTTGGTTACTTATTGGCTCTAGGGAGTGTTTATAAACACACACACACAGGTAGGAGCACCTTTGGGCAAGTATTGCGACAAGAAATTTTGTGACAGATTCAATTTTGGAAACTAAAATAAGATTCTGAGGAGTAAAATGACTATTGATGTCATTGTGAGAAAGTAACTATTATATTTAAGAACTGAGCTTATCAACAAGATAGTTTCTAGGGCTTCCCTCGTGGCGCAGTGGTTGAGAGTCCGCCTGCCAATGCAGGGGACGCGGGTTCGTGCCCCGGTCCGGGAAGATCCCACATGCCGCGGAGCGGCTGGGCCCGTGAGCCATGGCCGCTGAGCCTGTGCGTCTGGAGCCTGTGCTCCGCAACGGGAGAGACCACAACAGTGAGAGGCCCGCGTACCGAAAAAAAAAAAAAAAAAGGATAATTTCTAGAAGGATATAGAAAAATATATAAGGATAAATCCATGGGAAAAAAGGAAGCTAGAAATATAACTTCTTATAAAGTTCAGAACTTGACCACTGTGCTTGAAGTTTTAAAGGATTCAGAATGAGCAAGACATGGATAGGCCTTGCCCCCAGTAAATTATATTTTGAGAGAGACAGAAAATTTATCTTCGGGAATAAGGCAAGTACAATATATTCAGTACCATAGGACAGGTATAAAGTACTATTCAAGAAGTTTCAGAGAAGGCAGAGGTCAAATTATAAAATACCAGAAGTAAAATATCAGAAGCTGAGCCATACAAACCAAGTTGAATGTACTATTTAATTTTTGTTGCAGGTAGTCTCAATTGTGAAAACCTTGTGTCGTTCTCCTATTCCATGGGCATTCTGTTTTGTGCTTTGTTCTTCAGGCATTGTGGGCCAGGGTAACTGCTTATCTAAAATGCATTTGCTTATCAAATGTTACTTTGTATAGTAATTAGACCTGTTAGAACAAACATTTTTGAAAGATTATAAGCAGATAAACGGTCATAGTTAACACTGATGTTTCTTACTAGCAATCACGACCAAGTTAGGTCGCTTGAATTCATATTTAATCATTAGGTACTAAAGGTTAAAAGTGGACAAAACTGCTGATGAGGCACAGATAACTAATTTTTTCCCCTTTATGGTAGTTATAACTGAGGTATTTATACACTTTGTTTTATGCATACTTTAAAAATCAAACAGCTCATTTCTTGGTCTTCCTCTTCATTAAGTCTCTAAATTGGACCAGATTTTGTATTTTCTTCGTTGAATTTGCCTGTAATATCTCTGAAGCAGATGGGAGGTGAAACTCTGAGGTATATTAACTCTTTTTTCAGTTTTGGTGCTAAAACAATTGTGTATTAGATGATGTTATGGTAATGCTTTCCAATTATTTATATTTTAAAATATAAAATTAGAACTTACATTGTTTTAACTGTTCAGAGTAATAATAATCGAGTAGAATTCCTGGATCACTTCTTTGGAAATTTATTGCATTGAGAAACTTTCAGTTCGTTTTCAGTTTTGTTTGTCAGTGTTAGCTAGTTGATATCAAGTGAAAACTGAGCTAACTCAGTAGAACTGAAGGGAGAAAAGAATGAGAATAATTTTATATAAACAAACTGAGAATCCTGTCCACTCACAGACCACATATCTGCTCTTTCTATTAGTGCAAACACAGCATTCTAGGGGGGGATATTAATAAACTGTTTGAACTTCAGCTTGTTTATGCTTCCATATGTATGAATTTTTAAAGTTTTTTTTTAAATGTAGGGATGAATAATATTAGTATTGTAACTCTTAAGGTTTGTGAGTAGTAAGAGAGCCTAAAGTGTTACTCAAGGCCTTGAAACAGTCCCTTTTGAGATAAGTAAAATACTTAAGGGTGAAAGGAGTTTGATTTACTTTCTGGTATTACTGATCAATTGTGTGATATTAATCAATGCCCTGTTTACTTTTCAGGTAGAAATACTGTCTCAATTGTTCTCTTGAGAGATTTTTAACAACTTCTGCAAACTGTCCATTGTTGCTCCACTCTTTTTAGATCTTTACCTTATTAGTATGCAGATCTAGCATTAAAAATAAATGAAAGCCAGAGTAAATTAATCTTCTTTTTTTAATTGCAGACTTAATTCAGTGCACAAATGAGATGAATGTGAACATCCCGCAGCTGGCAGACAGTTTATTTGAAAGAACTACTAACAGTAGTTGGGTGGTGGTCTTCAAATCTCTCATTACAACTCATCATTTGATGGTGTATGGAAATGAGGTAAGCAGTATTTTTAGTTAACAAGTATACTGGGGAGTTGACTGATTCAGCTTGTTTCTCTCACTGACACTTCAGAAATGGCTATAGCAACTGAATAATATAGGTAAAAAGGGCAAGATGCTTATACAGAAATATAACTGTAGACCCTACACTTTGAGGAAAGATGGGCTTTAAGTCAGAAAGCAGAAAATGGGTCAGAGCACAGGGCACTTTCAGTAATGGGATCAAGAAGCAAAGATTAATGCCTAGGGATCGGTTCTGTAAGCATCACTGATTTTTTGCAGGCCTTTGTGTATAGATTGTATGTTCGTCTATTTTCATTTACTTTTTTATCATAGCCCAATCAGATTTCTGTCTGATCTGATGTAGTTGTCTATAGACGCTCTTTGCCTAGTTCAAGGCTGTGATATTAAGGACTAAGATGGCATTTTGCTGAGCAGACTGACTGAAGAATGCCTTCTTCAGCAGAGTTGTGTCTAAAGCCTTTGTTTCCCAAAAAAGGGTAACAAATAAGATGCATGAGCTTTTGCAATTTAATGTTTGGAGATAATCATCTTGTTTTCCATGATAGCTAATTTTTGAGTTCTTACCTTAGGTGATTTTCCCAGCCTAGCATACTTACTTGTAAAATTATGTCAAAAGGAATATTTTAAATTGTGTTAAAAGAAAATTTGAATGGAACTAGATAAATCTAGTACCTTGGTATGTACCTTAGAAAAATGCAGACCACTGGTTGCTGGGAGATAGCTCCCATAGAGATGGGGAGGGACTTTATTCATTGGTATCAGATTTATAAACATGACTTTCTGACATCCATCACTTTACTCATTATTTTGGGTTTTTCAGTCATGAGACTCTGCTGTTATCTTCTTTTTTTTTTTTTTTGCGGTACGCCGATCTCTCACTGTTGTGGCCTCTCCCATTGCGGAGTACAGGCTCTGAACGCGAAAGCTCAGCGGCCATGGCCCACGGGCCGAGCCGCTCCGTGGCATGTGGGATCTTCCTGGACCGGGGCATGAACCCGTGTCCCCTGCATCGGCAGGCGGACTCTCAACCACTGCGCCACCAGGGAAGCCCCTGCTGTTATCTTTGACGGATACCAAAGAGAACATCATTAGAGTTCAGTATTAAAGCAGAAATTTACCCATAACTCTTACATTGCAACAGATCTGTTTGCATGTTTTGGTGTTCCTTTCTGGTCCTGTCCAAAGTATTTTTTATAGCTATAATAATAATTTATATAAAATATTATATTTAACTTTTTTATATATCACATCATAAGCAGCATCTCCATGTTCTTTCTGTTTATCATCTTTAATGACTACATAATTGGTCATATGGTCCATCATTTTCTTAATTCTTCTCTTTCCTGGAAATTTAGTTTTCTGATTATTCACTGTTACAGTACCACCTTGAATGATTTTATTTGTAGTTATTAAGTTTTAAAAATTAGTTCCAGAAGCATTACCTGAAATATGATTACTTGGGTAACAGATGTGACCATTTTTAGGACATATGTTACTCAGTTGCTTTCTCATTCATTATAAGCAGTATATAGAGTCAATAGAAAAATTTGGATATACTAGCCTCCGTGTAACTCGAAACGTTTTGATCTTAACTAGGATATTAGTTTCTATTTTCATCAGGAATGTGTTTGTCTAAGATCATGATCATTTATTCAGAAGAATTTCAGGCTTGTATGTATTTTTTACCTTTTTAAAAAATATATATAGTTTACTCTTTAAAAAGAAAAAGCCACAAATATAACCAACTACAATGCTGGATAAAGAGGCACACTATCAGTGGTGACTTTCAGAGGTAAATAAGGTGATGATACCAGAAGCAAAAACTTTATAAAGGCAAAAAGACCAGAAAGTTGACTGTCATTCCTTATAGTTGACTGACAGAAAGAGAAAGATAGCATTTCAGTAGTGGTTTTCAGATAAACTCTAGTTTTCCTTCAGCAGCTAAGAGAAATCCAGCGCTCTGCCCTTTTTTTGGTGCTAGTTTGTACAACCCTCAGGTTTTTGCACTGGCAGGTGTTATTAGTCTGTGAGAGAGTATGCATAGGATTTCACTATGCTATGGTGTTGGAAATTACATAGAACAGTGGTTCTCAAATAGGGCAAGGGCGGAGAGTGATTTTCATCCCCAAGGGACATTGCTCATAACTGGAGGGGATGCTAGTGGCATGTAGTAGGTAGAGGCTACAGGCGTGCTAAATATCTTATAATGCACAGGACAGGCCCCCACAAAAAAGAATGATCAAAACTTATAAAAAATCATAGAGTGTAGTATTTTCTTAGGATATTTTAACACCTTTTTGAAACAGGTTGTTTTAGGATAAATGATGAAACAGGAGTCTTGTTTTTCAAAATCCTGGTTTGTTTGGGGTGATCTCTGATGAACAAGATTGAGTCAGAGAAGTGATGGTGTACATAAAATTGATAATAATCCTCTGCATACATTTACAAAAAAGTAATCCTTTTAAAGGAAATCGAAAGGAGTTTCTTTAGCTATTTTAGAGGTTGTATGTAAAGGGAAGCTAAGGTAGTGTTCTGTGGTAAGCACTTTGGAGAGGGTTTTGACAGTATTTTGAGAAAATGAACTTTCATACGCATGCTGACCCAACAATTCAACCCTAAGTATATATCATGAGAAACTCTTGTATGTTTGCAGGTGGGAGACCAGTACAAAGATGTCAGTGAAACATTGTTGTTAATAGTGAAATTGCAAAGATTAATTTAAATATCCATATAGAAATGGATACGTAATGATATAGTAGTTCATTTAAATGCTCACACATTGTTTAAAATGAATGAACTAGATGTACATGTATTAAATGGATAATTCTTGGGAAGAAGTTGTTAAAAATCACATTGGAAAAGAATAAGTACAGTATGGTATTTCTGTAAATTTAAAATAGAAAACAAAATTATGTACAGTTTATAGATACTTATATATGTAGTAAAATTGTAAAAACATTTGTGGGAATGATGTAAACCTACTTCAGAAAAGCCATTGCCTCTGAAGAGGGAGGGAGGGAAGGGAATGGTTTTGAAGGTGTGTGTCTTCAATAGTCTGTAATTTGATTCTGTAAGGGGTCTGAAGTGATTATGGTAATGTGTTTAATCTGGACAGTGGGTAAGAGGATGTCTGTAATATTATACTCCAGTATGATTACAGGTATTTTGTTTTTTAAAAAAAAGTCATAAAAATTTTTGAGTCACCAGGTATCCGTGTAAAATAAAGGCACCATCTGAGTATGATTAACTATAGCCATAATATGCTATAGTAAAGCCAAGAATTACTGCTTCTAGTTTAAAAGTGCCTGTGTCCGTTTATTTTAACTTTAATACCATAGCTGTGGGCATTAGACTTTAATAAATTCCTGCAAGCTAGTGAAAAATATATTTTGCTTTTAGGGGGATTGAGGATAAATTTAAACTAGATAAGATTAATGGAATGTGTTAACCACCACTTTCTCCCCTAATTCTCAAATTAGAGTTTCTTAGATGGCAGTACTATTTGACATAATTATTTGTTTGTTTGTTTTTTTCCCCCAGCGTTTTATTCAGTATTTGGCTTCAAGAAACACGTTGTTTAACTTAAGCAATTTTTTGGATAAAAGTGGATTGCAAGGTAAAAACAACTTATTCATTATAGAAAATCAAGAGTGACCCCATTTGAGGATTACTGCAGAGTTGAACTCTTTCCTTTAGAACATATGCTATGGAGGAACCTCATGTTTTAGTGAGCTTGTAGGGAAGGAAAAACTGTATTTTCATGTGAAGATAAAGATGGACTTCACTACTTGACACCCAGAGCTTTTTGAAAAGTAGCTTAAGGTAGCAGTTTGAGAGCATGGGTTCTGGAACTGGACGGACTGCATTCAAATCCCATCTGTAACACTTAACAACTGCATAAACTTGAGCAAGTTACTTCACCTCTCTGCATCTGTAAAATCAGGAATAATGATAGCACCCACCCTGTAGGATTATCATGAGGCTTAACCTAGTTATACATGTAAAGTGCCTAGAATGATGCCTGGCAAATAGGAAACACTATGTAAGTATCTGCTTTCATTGTTGTTCTTATTATTTTATGCTTTATTCCAAGAAATGTAGTTGGGAATATCATACAGTTTAGTAGCAAAGGTAAGCATTATGTGTTATTCAGATGAATTGTTTATTGATACTTACCTGTTATTTATTTTACTTTTAATTCAGTAAGTGGAAATTGCTGTAATCTGGTATTCTCACCCTCCATGTACATTCTATCTTAATGGGATCTGTTATACTTAGTTCCAGAACTAGGCTGTTAGCATTATAGAATGTTAACTCTAGGAAGAGCCTCAAAGGACATACTAAGACCATACTAAGACATACTAAAGGAATACTCAGCAATAAGGTTCAACTGGGAAGTATCTTTAGAGATCTGTGAGATGTGTGCTGCGCTTTGAAAGATGGGTGAGAACATGAGTTGGCTTAAGCAAAGGTACACAGATGGACGTGGATGTGAAAGAGAAAGAGCATGGGGTGTTTAAGATTTATAGAGCAAATGAATGTGAATAGAATGTAGGTTGAGGTATTAGAGAACATGTAGTGACAGCCCTCAAGAAGCTGTTTGGGGTCAAAATCATGCACAAAAGATTTTGATATAGTTGGGATTTTGTAATGCAGCGAGAAACCATCAAACTTTTTTGAGTTGAGGGAGGAGGACAGAAGGAGTGTGTGTTATAAAGAAAGCACCATAGCACAGTGCAGGTTGGATTCGAGTGAATAAAGTCTTAAAGACCTTGAGACTGCTCTGGTCATTATTTTGGTCATCTGGTAGAGAGTTAATTAGGGCCTGAATTGTGGATTTTGTGGCAATAAAAATCAGTGGAATTTAGTGACTAACTGTGTTTGTGTTTAGGAACTGTCCAGTTCAATACTTATTTACTTTTGGCAGATGGAAGTATTAATTAGAATGAATTGAATACCCAGTCTTCCAGAGATTCTGGAAGGTCAGTAATCTATACATAAGACCAAGTGTTACAAGACTGATTTTACTTTAATGAGAGATATAATGCCTTAAATAGTTAAGGGGAAAAAAATGAAGCAGTGGAATCCCTTTCTCAAATAAAATCTTAAATAGAAGCTAGATACATATAACAGATGAAACTGGAGCTGCTATGTTTTCTGGAACATGGAGAAAACTCTGCCTGCTCATCTTTTTATTTCTGGTTTCCCCCTTATTCAGTTCATTTGAACTGTAAGAGTCTGTGGAAAGCAATATGCAAACCACTACTCTAGAGCAGAAAATATGCATATGTCCAAGCGAGTTTTTTGTGTCTTAGTAGCTACTGATTTTCTACGTTCTTAAGATGGAAATTAAGCACTTCTAGTGATAAGGTTTTAAGGCTTTCATTCCTTTTATGTAGAGAACAGTTTTTAGGCCTTTTATTTAAAGCTCATATTCTAAAGAGATTATGAAGGTAAGACTGAAATGGTAATTAAAAGTATATAATTCAGTGGTGTTTTTGTAGTTTCGATTGCTGATGTATTTTGTTGGGTGGAGTCTGGTATATTTTCTTAAATATATACTGGGTGTATATAATATAAACTTCCAGTCTGGTGAGTGAGATAGACACTGTGTACATCTAATAGCTTTGAGCTGTACTTGGAGTAAGAATAATATGGGAACACAAAGAGCTCAGGGAAAGTTTCACAGATTGAGCCTTGAAGGATGAGAGAGATTTCTCCCATTATCGAGGATGGAGTAGAGTGGATTAGAGGGAACAATATTAACTAAAGAGCTGAAGAATGTGAGTATGTACCACCTTATAAAATGCACTAGTAGCTGTGAGAATATCTGAGGGCAGTGATTTTGTTTTTTCTATTTACTGATTTTTCTCCAGTGGCAAATTAGTAGCCGCTCAAGAAATATTTGCTGAGTAAATGAATTGATGATTATGTTAAATCCAGTCACTTTACTTTTCTTTCTTTCTTTTCTTTTTTTTTTTTGCTTGTTTTGGTATTATCTTTTTAAAGTAGCAGAGACCATCAACAACTAAAGTTGAATGTGTTAGATGAAGATGACCTAAAATAGAATGATAGAATGGACCTGCTTTTACAATGAGAAGCAAAAACTTGTAGACCTCACTGAGCCAGGCAATAGCTAAAACACAAGTTTTTTTTTTTTTTAAATAATATTGATTAGATTTTATGGTGCTGAAGTTTTCAGATCTCATGATTGTGATGAAACAAAATTTTAGAATGATTTAGGTATTCATTTTGAAAGTTTAGTTGAAAACATTCACATAATTGTTTTTTGTTAGGCCTTAAACTTTCGTATTGCCATTTCTTTCATTGTACTATGCAGTACTTTTCTCTACTACTTATAAGGTTGGCACACATAAGTTATAGTTGTTCTACTAAAGATTGGTAAGATGCAACTAAAGATTGGTAGATTGCAACTAAAGATTGGTAAGTATGAAAATTATTAAATTGATTAATGATTTAAGGAGTGGGGTTGTGGTTCCATAGGATGTTAAATTTGAGTTATGAGGTTATCAGGTAGTATAAGAAAGCAGGCCTTTCAATTCCTGTTAAATAAAAGATAGGAATATTGGTCAGAAGTAAAACAGAATTATTATTTTATTGAAATTCTAAGGGGGAAGATTTTTCTAAGCCACATATGACATAACTGACTTTAAAAATGTTAAGTATTAGAGATTTTAATGTCACTTAATTTGCATCACTAAATTGAAGGTGGGATAACAAGACAGTATGGCCATTGGATGAAATGAGTTGGTTTTCTAAGCTAATTGGGATTTTAATAATTTATGAAACCCTTTTCTGTTTCTTTTCTTACAGGATATGATATGTCTACCTTTATTAGGCGGTATAGTAGATATCTAAATGAAAAAGCAGTTTCATACAGACAAGTTGCATTTGATTTCACAAAAGTGAAAAGAGGGTGAGTTAAGCTTTTTTTGGGATATCTGATGTATTTGAATATTTTAAAATATAAATCATAGGCATTATTGATTATGAATTATGGAAATTCAGGCCAGTTTTAAAAGGTGAACTTCATTTTTCTCTGAAGAAGTATATCAGATACTTTTTGCGCTAGGATTTTCAAAGTTCTTTTGAATTTTATAACAGCTTTATTGAGACAATTCACACAACATAAAATTCACCCTTTTGAAGTGTACAATTAAGTGGTTTTTAGTATATTTACAAAGTTGTGCAGCATCACTGCTATCTAATCCCAAAACATTTCATTGCTTCCCATTTTCCTCTTCCTCTAGACCCTGGCAACGACAAATCTACTTTATATCTCTATGGATCTGTCTGTTCTGAACATTTCGTATAAATGGAATTGTACAATATGTGGCCTTTTGTGTCTGACTTCTTTCATTCAGCATAATGTATTCAAGTTACAACACCTTTGTTGTGGCATGCATCAGTACTTCATTCCTTTTTATGCCCAAATAATATTCTATCATGTAGAGACACCATATGTATATACATACC